CCATAAACTGCGCCTCAGAAACTCCCAGGGGCAGTCCTACCCACTCTACCGGGTTGCTGTGAGTCAGCATGGACTGATGGCCGTGAATTTCAGTTTTGTCTGTCTCTAGGCTGTTATCATCCTGCCCTGTGCGACACACACTCCAGGGTCAAATCCTAACTCTGGCACCCACGATGGTGTGACCTTCACCAAGTCATTGTTTTCTCATACCTGCTGGTATAAAGTGGGAAACCAAGCCCTCTCTCCAGGGCTTGTGAGGCCCGACTGAGGTCCTGGGGGCAAGAGCCCGCCCGCAGTTGGTGCTCAGTCAACACTGGTTCTACCCTGCCTTTCTCCTTCCCCATCTTCCCTGCACGGAGCCCCTCCTCCTTCCCCTTCACGGTCCTTGGGAGGTGGCGCTCAGAGGGGACCCAGGAAGCAGGGACGGTCGTCGGAGTGAACATGGACTGCCAGCTGCACCGCTTCCCTGCGTGTACCATTCCGTGCCCCCAGGGCTGTGTCCTCACCAGGGGTAGCCAGAAGGAATGCTAACAGGACTTGTAGTGTCTCCGTGGTGAGGAGTGGGCCACACCTGGTCCCGGCCACTTCCAGCAGGTGACGTCACAGCCCTGGGACTTTGCTTCTCCAGCAGCAACGCTGAGTAATCACAGTCCCTACCTCACACAGCTGCTGTGAGCAAATCCACGCCCAAGTGCCTCACAAAACTAGCCCCCCTCTACCTGCTAGCCTTCAATAAGGACAGTAGGTGCCTATGTTTGGGGCCTGGGGTCCTGCCTGGACCCCCTCCTTGCAGCTCCCTGGACAGCTCTTCCATCCTCCGTGGGTTTCTGAGACTGTGATTGTTTATGGAGTAGAAAGCCCAGTCTGCCTCCTGCAGAGCTTCTGGTGGCTTCAAACTGCCGACCATGCAGATCACGGCCCGACTCGTAACCCCTGCACCACCAAGGCTCCCGGGTGCCGGCAAACAGTCCAAACCAACCCCCTGCCTCCTGCCTTGAAGCCCATTCCCACCCAGAGCACCCTCTGTGGGACAGAGCAGAACTCCTCCCCAGGATTTCTGAGGCTGGACCTCCTCATCTTGAGCCAGCCGAGCCCCTGGGAGATTCACACCGCCAGCCTTTCTGCTAGCAGCCTGGTGCTTAACCCACCGCACCACCAGGCTCCCCTGCTGGTGAGGGAGAGGTGGTGATTGTAAGTGAGCTGGCTCCGAGCACGTGCTCAGTCCATGTGAACGCTTCGCTATTAGCAGACCCGGGGTGGTGCAGACAGCCTAGAGCAGTGGTTCTCGACCTGTGGGCCGCGACCCCTTTGGGGGTCGAATGACCCTTTCATAGGGGTCGCCCGATTCATAACAGAAGCAAAATGACTGATGAAGTAGCAACGAAAATAATTTGAGGGTTGGGGGTCACCACCACATGAGGAATTGTATGAGAGGGCCGCGGCATGAGGAAGGTTGAGAACCGCTGTCTTAGTGCTTGGCTATTAGCCATGATGCTGGCGATTGCATCTACCCAAAGGGTCCACAGCAGAAAGGCCTGGCCATCGAGTTACCGGACACAACGGTGCTTGGAAAGCCTAGGAGGCACAGCTCCACGCGACGCACATGCGAGCACCATGAGCCAGATTTGGCTCGAGGGCCCCCATTTGGTGTGTTTGTTTCCTGAGGTCCCCTCTCCAGTTGCAACTATTTGTTTTATGCGGCGAATCTATGTGACAAGATGACTAATTCTGAGACATTGAGTCCGTTCTTCAAACGGTGTGACTATTCTCACTCTCCTTTCCCAAATCACTCCACAACCATTTGGTTTGCTTCATTATCGTTTTTATTAGTCGTGATGACGGCTCCTGGGACCTCGATGGGCTTATGCCCACCGCGTGGAGAACTCAGCGGGCCATTGTGTCTGTGTGTGGGCTGAGGAAGGCTCGGACCGGGGTGGGTTTGTCCACCGGAACGGCAGCCGCCAGTTGCCCAGCCTGACTCAGGGTCGCAGCATTCCTGACGGGCAGGGAGGGAGGACAGAGTAAGGTCTGCTCCCGGGTGGGGTGAGAGGCTGGTTTGGGCTGAGGAAGCCAGGTCAGGATGGGACTGTGAGTCTGGCCCATGACTGGTGGGGGGCTCAGACACTTCCTCCTGGCGTCAGCTCCGGATCTCCCTACCTGTCTGCCCAGACCCACCCCTGAACAAGGGTCCAGTCTAGAATCTCCCAGGAGCAAGACATCACCCCATGTAATCTTCAGATCAGCTCATACCATCCCCATCTCACAGCAAGGCCCAGAGAAGCCGTGGGACTTGCCCAAGGTCACACAGCATATCGATGGAAAAGCAGGGACCCCGAAGCTGGAGTTGTTCCTACTGCATATGCTACTTCAGTTGCGAGCCTGGGGGACCCCTTTCCTGGCTAGAGCAGCAGCTGCAGGACCACAGCAAGTTACACTGTCCTGGGCCTCCACCATGCAGTCCATTCTAGCTGCCATGCAGGGTCCCCGCTGCACTCTCCCCTGCCCCTGCCCCTGCTGCACCCTCAGGCTGACTCCCAGCTCCCCAGGCTCAGTTTGACAGATATGTAAGGTGTGCATCAAAGCACTGTGCGACAGTCACAAAGGAAACTAGAAGGGAGATTCTCCTTCTGACCCAGCTCCCCAAAAGCCCTCGCAGCCCCACGGCATGGGCCGACCACCACGCCTTTCTCCCTCAGCTGCGGGTGGGTTCGTAGTGCCAACCTTTTGGTTCAAGGCGGAGCACTTAACCACTTTGCCACCAGGGCTGATAACAAACTCCTAGCTCACTTCTGAGCAACCCAGCAGAGCAGAGTAGAAATGCCCCGTGGGCTTCTGAGACTGTAACTCTAGATGGGACCAGAAAGCCTCGTCTTTCTCCCATAGAGTGGCTGGTGGTTTCAAACAGCTGACCTTGTGATTAGCAGCCCAATTTGTAACCACTGTGCCACCAGGGCACCTAGGTAGGTCGGCAGGTCATTTTCCTCCCAACCACACTGTCCTGGCCCTCACTGTTTTGCTTTGAGGACACATTGACTTACCCAGTCCCTCGTGGACGGCCTTGAACTGTTTCCGGCCTTTTGCAAGTATGTGCTGCTGTGAATAATCATGTCCATCTTCAGCTGAGCTGACTGGGTGCGGGGCAATTCCTAGAAGTGGCCCTGTGGACTGGGAGGGCGCGTGCTTCCAGCTGTGAGAGAGGAGAGCTAGTCGCCCTGCATTGAGGTTGTCCCCATGCCTTCCCCACTGTGCTGGGGGGCCGACCTGGCTTCCCAGTCTGCTGACGACAATATGCGCCCCCCACCCCCAGCAGAGCTCTGTGTGACCTCCAGGATTCCGGAAGGAGCTTTGTCCCTGGAAATACTTCCCCAGCTTGGTGGAAAGTCCCCATGAAATATGCCCCGTCTTTTGCGTCCTCAAACCGAAATTCAGAATGTTTACCAAGCAAGGACTGCTTTTTAAAGGAAAGATGCCAGCCAAAGAAGAAACAAGTCCCTTGATGAATGCCAGGCATCCCTTGGCCCTTCCTGCCCCCGCCCCCTCCATCCATCCCCCTGCAGGTGAGTGTGTGGGGCAGGTGGGGCTTCCCTAGGGACATGTTCTCAGGAGGGAGCAGTTCCTGGAGAGGGACCTCATGCCTGGTGACGTGGAAGGAGGTCGGTGAGCTGGGCTGAGACAGTGGCTGCAGCGACGGGCTCCGGCAGCATAGCCGTCGTGAGGACGGGGCCGGGCCGTGTTCTGGTGTGTTGTGCACAGGGTGCTGTGAGCCACAACGACAAAAGGAAAAGAGACAAACCGTGTTTAGGTGCTTGAGAGGAGCGGAGCGGGAACACTGAATTCTTCCTGGGGAGGGACCCCCAAGCCCTGGAGAAGGCGCCCAGGGAGGGAAAGGGTCCTCTTTGGCCCTCATGTATAGAGGCCACTGGCCTTGAGCCTGTGGGCCAGCTGCTGGTCAGGGATGGAGAGCCCTGAGACCCCAGGTTGGACTGACCCTCATCTTGGCCAGCTCTGCCCCCAGTGCCCTCACTGCAGCGTCACGGTCCTAAGGCAGCAGGGTGCCCCCAGTGCCCTCACTGCGGCGTCACGGTCCTAGGGCAGCAGGGTGCCCCCAGTGCCCTCACTGTGGCGTCACGGTCCTAGGGCAGCAGAGTGGAAGTGGAAAGGCAGGCTTTGAGGAGTGGGCGCAGCCGGAGGCTGGCAGCTCATAGTAGGGCCAGGCTTAGCCTAGACTCTTCTGGATCCTATCCCCTGGCCACTGAGCCATTGTCCCCTGGCTTGGGGGTGGAGAGGAGTGCCCACCCCAGCCCTGGGGCAGCACGTGACCCAGATTGGACAGTGCCATGGTTAACGAACCACAGATCCAGGGCAGACATGGCCGCCCAAACATTCACGCAGACCACAGGGATAGTCTGACTTTGGGCCAGAAAGCTGCCTGTCCACACTCCCAGGAGACCTGTGAGTGGCTAATGGGGACTTGGCACATGGGGCACGGGGGCCCCCATAAGGCACCCACAGGTTTCTGGCAGCTTAGAGAACTGAGGGGGCGAGGGACGGGATGGAGGGTACCCCGCTGCCAGCTTGGGACTCTGGGCCCTGGTTGGAGAGGCGGGAATAGGGTCTGGGGCTCGAGGCCAGTCGTTCTGCATTGACAGGAAAGCTGAGGAGTGCTCTCAGGCCTGGTGCCACATCTGACCAGGTCAGGGTGGGTGACACTGAGGGAGGAGCCCCCAACTGGGGCCCACTGACTCTGCAGCACACCAGCTGGGTTCCTGAGCCCCAGGGGTCTTGTTGGGTTTGGACCCCAGGAACCCTGCATGCACAGATGAACCTGACCACTGACCGGTGAATTTGGGGGCTCCCCTGGGGATGGTGAGCCAGGGCAGGAGACCCCATCCCGATGTTAACTCATGCCCACAGAGCCTTCATCCCCACGGCCTGTTTGGGATCCAGACCTGGAACGGGCTGCCTCCCTCATCTCCAGGGCACCTCCTTCCTCTTTCTAGCGCATGAGCAGCGGAGCCCTCTGACTGCAGCGCCAAGCCTGCCGGCCAAGCCTGCCGCCGCCACGGCCACACCATGTCCGGCTCCTACGACGAAGCCTCGCTGGCTGCAGAAGAAATCACTGACAGCTTCTGGGAGGTGAGTCCCTGCCTGATGTACCCCAGGTCCCGGGGACCCTGCCTGATGTACCCCAGGCCTTGGGGACCCTGCCTGATGTACCCCAGG